TGTTGGTTAAGTTGGTGTCGACCTCTTAAAGTCTTGGTGTTGGTTAAGGAGGTCTCGACCTCTTAAAGTATTGTTTAAGGTGGTCTTGATCTCTTAAAGTATTGGTCTTGGTTAAGGTGGTCTCGACCTCTTAAAGTCTTGGTTAAGGTGGTCTCGACCTCTTAAAGTCTTGGTGTTTGTTAAGTTGGTGTCGACCTCTTAAAGTCTTGGTGTTGGTTAAGGAGGTCTCGACCTCTTAAAGTCTTGGTTAAGGTGGTCTCGACCTCTTAAAGTCTTGGTGTTGGTTAAGGTGGTCTCGACCTCTTAAAGTATTGGTGTTGGTTAAATTGGTCTCGACCTCTTAAAGTATTGGTTAAGGTGGTCTCGACCTCTTAAAGTCTTGGTTAAGGTGGTCTCGACCTCTTAAAGTCTTGGTGTTGGTTAAGGTGGTCTCGACCTCTTAAAGTCTTGGTTAAGGTGGTTTCGACCTCTTAAAGTCTTGGTTAAGGTGGTCTCGACCTCTTAAAGTCTTGGTTGAGGAAGTCTCGACCTCTTAAAGTCTTGGTTAAGGTGGTCTCGACCTCTTAAAGTCTTGGTTGAGGAAGTCTCGACCTCTTAAAGTCTTGGTTAAGGTGGTCTCGACCTCTTAAGTCTTGGTTGAGGAGGTCTCGACCTCTTAAAGTCTTGGTTAAGGTGGTCTTGACCTCTTAAAGTCTTGGTGTTGGTTAAGGTGGTCTCGACCTCTTAAAGTCTTGGTTAAGGAGGTCTCGACCTCTTAAAGTCTTGGTTAAGGAGGTCTCAACCTCTTAAAGTCTTGGTGTTGGTTAAGGAGGTCTCGACCTCTTAAAGTATTGGTTAAGGTGGTCTCGACCTCTTAAAGTCTTGGTGTTGGTTAAGGTGGTCTGGACCTCTTAAAGTCTTGGTTAAGGTGGTCTCGACCTCTTAAAGTCTTGGTTAAGGAGGTCTTGACCTCTTAAAGTCTTGGTGTTGGTTAAGGAGGTCTCGACCTCTTAAAGTCTTGGTTAAGGTGGTCTCGACCTCTTAAAGTCTTGGTGTTGGTTAAGGTGGTCTCGACCTCTTAAAGTCTTGGTTAAGGTGGTCTCGACCTCTTAAAGTCTTGGTTAAGGAGGTCTCGACCTCTTAAAGTCTTGGTGTTGGTTAAGGAGGTCTCGACCTCTTAAAGTCTTGGTGTTGGTTAAGGTGGTCTCGACCTCATAAAGTCTTGGTGTTGGTTAAGGTGGTCTCGACCTCTTAAAGTCTTGGTTGAGGAGGTCTCGACCTCTTAAAGTCTTGGTTGAGGTGGTCTCGACCTCTTAAAGTCTTGGTTAAGGTGGTCTCGACCTCTTAAAGTCTTGGTTAAGGTGGTCTCGACCTCTTAAAGTCTTGGTTGAGATGGTCTCGACCTCTTAAAGTCTTGGTTGAGGTGGTCTTAACACTATTAAATGCAGGATAACGCCGACTGCTTTATCCCTTTTTATAAATAATGTAGCACTGATTGAAATGAAGGTGAACTTAAATCCAGTTTTATTATTTAACCAGATGTGAATCCCCGTGAAAGACTTAAAGCAATGAGACTGATTTTCACAATTTATTAACAAAATGATAAAATAAATAAATACAAATTGATCAAATGCTCCTAATATCAACTCCTCCCCTTGTTCCCCACAGTATTTCCTAAACACTGCATACAAAGAAGTCATCACAGAAGAATAGGCTCAATACAGAGGTAAGGATCCCAGCAGACCGCCCCCATGTCAGGCCAACAGAAGACACGTCTGGAACACAAGTCAAAAAATAAACACATTCCTTTCCAAAATCATTATGAAAAAATACAAACAATTATACAAATATTCAGTGTGTAATTCCTACACATTATTCAGCACACCGGGTGACCTCTCCGTCGCTACAATGCCTCACCGGATGGAAGATACAAAAAGACTTTATTTTGTGTTTTTTTTTTTTTTTTTTGCAGTCAACACCCCGATGGATTAGCCGTGGACGACGAGGTAAGAAGCTCGGGGCGAACAGTTGGATCCGGACGGGATGGACAGCGGGTCGATGTCTCCACACAATACTAGAAGGCCACAATCAGGACTTGATCGTTCGTTAAAATAAAGAACTGCTTTCAGAAGAATCCACGAGATGAGCGTCAAATCATAATAAACGATATGCATCAATTACTGAAAATGTACGGAAGGGCAAAAATAAAAAGGTGACGCATTTGTGTTCAGGACTTAAAAGGTTAAAATGTTCCTGCGTTGATCTTTTTCCTTTTGTGAAGCAAGTGGGGAAAAAGCAGATCGTTTTTGTTGCTATTTGTGAAATTGTGCAACTGATGTAATACTCATTTAAACCACAAGAGGTGAAGTATATGTTATATTTATGTATTTGTATATAGTTAAATATAAAGAACATGGGCAAGTACTTCAGCCTCTTGTGGTCAAAAGGAGCATTACAACAACACACTCTAAGCGAACACACTTTTCTCCCAGTTTTTTAGATGTAATACTAATTTAAACCACAAGAGGTGAAGTACATATTATATTAATTCATTTCTATGTTGTGTTCAGAGCATGAAGTCATTTCAAAAACACAAAAACGAACAGGTTGTTTTTTAGTATTAAGAACATGGGCGAGCACTTCAGCCTCTTGTGGTCAAAATCAGTATTACAACAACAAAAACCCATCTAATAAAATTATCCTTAACTTTTTTTTGCCAGTTTTTATTGATGTAATACTAATTTAAACCACAAGAGGTGAAGAATATTTTATATGTATGTATTTCTATATTGTGTTTAGGGAGCATGAAGTCATTACAAAACACACAAAAACGAACAGGTTGTTTTTTAGTATTAAGAACATGGGCGAGTACTTCAGCCTCTTGTGGTCAAAATGAGTATTACAACAACAAACCCTAAGTGACACTTTCCCCCAGTTTTTTTGATGTAATACTAATTTAAACCACATGAGGTGAAGTATATGTTCTATTTAAGTATTAGTAGTGTGATTAGAGAGCATTAAGTAATTTAAAAAACACAAAAACGAACAGGTTGTTTTTTAGTATAAAGGACATGGGCGAGCACTTCAGCCTCTTGTGGTCAAAATGAGTATTGCAACAACAAACACTCATCTAATACAATTATCCTTGACTTATTTTTGCCAGTTTTTATTGATGCAATACTAATTTAACCATAATAGGTGAAGTATATTTTATATTTCTATATTGTGTTTAGGGAGCATGAAGTCACAGCCTCTTGTGGTCAAAAGGAGTATTACAACAACACACACACTAAGCTAATAAAAACCTATTTTTTTAATCTATGAAAACTATTTTTAACCAGTATTTTAAATGTAATACTAATTTAAACCACAAGAGGTGAAGTATATATTATATTTACATATTAGTATGTGTGTTTAGAGATCATGAAGTGATTTAAAAACCACCATGAAGAAAGAACAAGTGTTTAAAACAGGAGAGTACGTCAACCTCTTGTGGTCAAAATGAGTATTACAACAACAAACAGTCATCTAAAATTACCCTTACATTTATTTTTTCTACCTATTTTCACAGATTAAATAAAGGAACCGCTGAGTTCATCCACCTGTTTCAAAGAGGATTTAAAATAAACACTTTTTGTTGATTTAGCAAAACACTCATTAACATTTTCTTAAACCATAAACATAAAACAATTCAGATCAGATTTTTAAAAACGCACCAACAGATTTGACCAACAGATCCTTGCCGTTCTCTTCGGATAGATTCACTTTTTAGACCAAATAGGATCCGATAACTCAATAAAAAAGCCCTGCCCCGCCCCCCCCCCAAACATTCAGCATGGTGCGTTAGCCGAGTCCAAATGAAAGTCTAAACACGACGTCAGGAAGAAACGAGAAACACCCAAACTGCACAATGTTCAACGGAATAAAGGTGACTTGAGTTTCACATAAAAAAAGAAGTTAAAAAACAAATGCATATTTAAAAAAGGTTTGACAAATCTGGTATAAAAGTTTGCATAAGAAGGCATGCGAGGACAGGTCTGCGCGCCGCGGTTAGCTTGTTTTAAGCAGAAAATCCAGAAACACAAGACGAGGAACCACGGCATCGAGGGAACGAAGAGGGAGAGGAACGATTCATGACGGATCCTTTTTTTTGTTTTTCTACACGCCCATAATAATATCAATAATACTGGTCGAAACAAAAAGTGCATCGCCAAACGTCCGGCTGTCAAACATCCCAGTAATCTCTCTCTGGAGCGATTCCCCCGCCACCAAAACCACCACATCCACCAGGCTGGGATCTCTCCGCGCTCAGGAAGGAAAATAAAACACATTTAAGGCAACTCCTATAGTAATAAAAAACAATGAGGAAACACAATGTGGTCGAGAAGAAACGAAGAAATATGAAAATGTTTCCGTTGCCTGAGGAAGTGAAGGGCTGGGGGGGTTTCTACAAGTCACAGTGCAAGTCAAGAGACAAATATTATCTGCTGTTTGAAGAAAAGGCACTCGAGGTACCTACTGTACAGAGGGGGGGGGGGGGGCAAAGAAAACCGTTTAAGACCGAACGATCGAGAATCAGGAGGAACAAACGTCCACTTCCTGTTGTCCTTGTCGTAGAAACTCTCTTCTGCTCTGGATCTCCTGATGAAGGCAGTTTGTACAGCTGACGTCAGAAACTCAAAACGTGGTGCGTTAGATATGTTGGTACAATATGATATGATAAAAAAGACACATGTAACACCTTGTTTTTAAAGTCGCCACACATCGTATTCACCGCTGCGCTCACGACTACAGAACCACGTTCCCACACAGCAGAAACGCATCGTCCGGGAGAATCCTCTGGAGGAACCTCAGGACCATTCAACGCTGGCTTAGTTTCAGACAGGAAGTAGCTTGTTGTGTTTTTATTTAACTTTAATTCCCACCTTTAAGACAGCCATAGCACTCTATAAAATCAGTTGCACAGGAACACATTGTAGGTTTGTCACTTAGTAATATTATTTAAGAATGTCATCCTAACACGAGTCTACAGCCATGCTAGCAGCTTCTTCCATTAGAGCTAATTGCTATAGTTAGCAAGCTAACAGGCTAACAGTGGCAACGCTAACGTGAATCTGGTCATAAAACAGAGTCCCGGGAGATCCTTCACTGGGACGTCTGAAGAAAGGCCTGGTGGCGAATATCTGAAATGTTAGCAAAACTAGTGTTGAGATATTTCACTAAACGTGGGGCTGCTGATAAAAGAAGTGACGGATCACCCAAAATATCATCGTCATTCTCGTGGCCACTAGCATGGCTGCTAACTCCCCGTCAGTAACAGCTTCTCATGATTTCAGGACTATCATCTTCATGGCTTCTCAGCGGTGAATACGTGTTTTCACGACTACACTTTAAGCAGAAAGAAAGAAACAGAAAGCACCGTTAGTGGAGGAGGAGCCAGAAGTCATGATTCAGCGGAGAAACGCAGACGAGCTCCAGAGAGGGGAGAGATGCTAACCCAGGAACACACCTTCAATGTCACACAGAGGTTTGGAATTCCTCCTAGAAAAATATTGGCAATGTGGGGATAAGTCACATCACAACAAAGAGATGCATACTCTGTTTCCATATTAACATACAAAAAGCTCTTCTTTGTGATGCAGCAAGCTTGTGCTTTAATCTCAGGATTTGTGGTTCCTTTGAGACCCGAAGATCCTCGGTTATTGTTTAGTAAGCTCTCCTGTCTCGATCTGGGGACGCATCTATACATCTCACAACGCCAATGATTTGATCTTTCCGTAGACGGACTGGTCCCTGCTGGATCTGGAGACAACATCATTTGGCAGTTCAGGGTTCGACAGAAAGCAGAGATCACCACTGTGTTGATAATGCCAGTCCAGCAGGTTCAGGAACAGAAAGCACTTATTCTGAAGACTAGGAAGACCTGAATATCTTTTCCTATAAAAAGAAACACAGCCCAGATATAGTTTGTGTTGACATTGCAATATTGCAATTTCACATTTAGTGCTCAGTTGACACACTTGACTCACGAATGAAAACTCAATCACTACACTTGACCGACACCACTGGAAACATCTGTGAGGCCACAGCTGGCCTCGTCCCGCCGAACACTTCTGCATCAAGTCAGGGGACCAGGGGTGTGGGGGTCAGTATTCGGGGGGTTTGGTCATTGGTCCACTGGGAGAGGGTTGTTGGAACGGGATGTTTGAACTGGCGAAGCTACGTTTCGTCTTTAGTAACCAGAGGGGTTATTTGTTGTTGAATGAACACAGTTTCTGGTTCTAGACTGTTTGAGAAGTCTAAAAACATCAGTGAGATTCTCTTTGTGCGACGCTAACTTGTCTGTACAGTGGCAAACAGGTGCAAACGCGCTGCAGCTTCAGAAACGATGCAACTGTCTCTGTCTCAGAATTAGTCGTCTCATGTGTTTGTCAGAAAATCTGAAATGACTAGGTTAGCTAGCTAGCTTACAGCAGATCTGCAGTAACATCAGAAGGAGTCATGTGACCACATTGTTAAAATAAGGGGGAACTAAATGAACAGACGTTATGTTCACAGACTGATTTGAAAGTTGGGTGTGTTGGTTTAACGGGGTCCGGACGCTTCAAACAACGATACTTCTAACTTTCCCAACATGTATGGAGTGTACTAAACCCTTTGGGGTTCAGGAGGAATGACTGGGGAATGTTTGGTTTCTCGAGGGGAAGGTCATGTATGTTGGTTGAATGAACGCGTCTACAGCTGGATAGTAGTTTGGAAGTTATGGGTTGGTTTAAAGGATGCTTGGTCCTGCAACAGAAGGTCTAGTATTTGTTCTTTGAATATTGAACCCCTTTTGGTCTATGAGTGACCTTAGTCTTCTGGATCACCAATCCGCGTCCAAAACAACTTCCCCACGACCTGTTGCCTGCGCCTGATCATTTTGGTGACTTTTTCTGTGTTTGAACAACCTAGCTCAACCCAGGACTTCCTTTTCTGTGCACTGTCATTGTTTACGGTCTGATTGGATAACGGACCTGGACCAAAGTGTTGCAAAAGCAGCCAGTTTCGAAGCTAATAAAGAGCTAAATGTTCGGCGGACGATAGGGGAGGTGACATTGGGTTGGGGTTCAGGGGTTTTCACAGGAAGAGGGTATCAGGGTTGCAGAAGTTTAGGTTCATTGGGACGAGGGGGTGCACAGGCTCTCTTTTCATTACTCTATCACAACACTGCTTCTTTAGACCAGTAACCCCTGACAGATCGGATCCATGCTCTCGTTTTTTGTCCACCCCTAACAGAGAACACAGGGGCCACGTTAACAGGCACACACTGGTGTGATGATGAATTAAATCTCCCTTTGAGCATCTCCACACTGGACGTCTATCACTAATTGGCATGATGACACTGGTGCGTCGCCAGAGTCATGTGACCTGGGCTGTATATCTACCATTGACACAGTCTGACAATACGATGCAAACAAACAACATTTATACAGATTGGCAACTTCAGGGCACCGTCGGGCACAAGCAAAGTCTCTTTTTTTTTTTATATATATATGTTTGAATTCCCGCCACTGGATAGACCTGGCATTACTTCTTATTGTCCAAACTGCTGACGAGAGCTGGCAAAGAATGCTGGGAGGGTTCTGAGGTTTTGTTGTTGTTGTTGCTGCTGTCATCGCTGATCTCCTCCTGCTTCTTCTCCTGCGCCGTCTCTGGAGGGGTGACGCCAGACATCTTGTTCTCAGAGAAGTTGTTGGTGGTGCAGGTTCCCTCTGGGCTCCGGGGGTCAGGGCTCTTGTGTTCAGGGCTCCGGGGGTCAGGGTTCTTGTGTTCGGGGCTCCGGGGGTCTTTGCCCGGAGGATCGGACGTCCCGTTTGTACCGTTGGTGGTTGCGACCGTTGAGACGACCGTTGAAATGACAGTTGAGACCCCCGAAGGAGCAGGAAGGTCGACCATCTCAGTGTCGGGGTCGGAAACAACCTCCGTCTGAAGGTTAGAGGGTAAATCACCGCCTCCCACAGCCTCACCCCCCGCCCCAACCTCCCCCACTCCCCCTGAACCATCACCTGCCTGGATCCCCGTCCCTCCAGTAGGGCTGTTATCTGCTGTTAGCTCTGTAGCCTCTACGACAGCCTTGCTCTCGGTGTTTCCGGCCGCCTGGATGTTCCCTGACGCTCCGGGCTGCTCTGCTTTCTCGTCTCCACCAGTGTTACTGTTACTGCTGTTGGTGGTGGGGGTGTTGGGGGTGGAGAAGGAGCTCTCAGCCTTCACTTTCTCCACAGAGTTTGCTTCTGGTGCAGCTTCAGAGACGGTGGCAGCAGACTCCTGGACGTCCTCCTTCAGAGCCTGGTTGAAGTTGAAGGCTTGGATGAGGCGGATCAGGTGCTTGACCTTCTCCAGAGACAGGTGCATGTCTTTCTGCCGAGCCAGGATCGTGTTTTTGGTCTCCATGCATTTCTGATGAGAGAGAGAACACATTCTTACACCACGGATTCCTAAACTTAAAAAAAATGATGTGCCCCAGAAAATAGAAGATGCCTCTAAACTGAGAGCGTGTAATGTAAGCCTGGTCAGCGATGATGTGCTCTTACAGTTTCTTAGTTGTTTCTTTGTAGTTTTGAAGCTGTTTGTTTCTTACCGTTACGGAGTTGCTGAGCTGTTTGACTCTGAGCTCCAGCTGCTCTCGCTCCAGCTTCAGTTCAGAACTCCACTTCATCAGCTTCAGTTTCTCCTCTTCTTTAGCTGCAGCACACAAAACACAACGGTTCATCTCAAATGTCCTCTGTAGTTTCTATCATTTCTATCAGTTTGGCCATGTTAGTTGAATCTCAGTCAAAGGAAAACTAGACCAGGAATAAGTTATATTCCCCCAAAATATTAGCTGGTAACTGTTGTTGTTATTGTTGACTGAACTCAGCCAGAATTAAAACGTGTCCAACACTACGATAAGATGTTTTGTTTATTTGCAGAAGACAAAACACTATTTACGAAACCCACAGGTCTCACTACAAGAAATCATGTACCTGTTTAGAGGTATCTCTACATTTTCAAATTAGATTGAACCCTGTGACTCCATTTCAGTCTGGTCTGTTTAAACATTACTGCATATTGATATGGCCACAGTTTGCGTTAATGAGGTTTCTCAAAGTATTCGCATTCTTCCCGGCTGATGTCGGAGAGAGTCAAAGAATCGTCACCTTCTTTGTAGGCGATGTAGGAGTGAACAATAGCCAGAGTGCCAGGCCAGGGAATGGCTTCTTCTTTCTTCAGGATCTGCAAAGAGAAGCTAGCAGTTGTCAAAGAGGCAGAGATGTGGAAAAGATTGGAAGGAAATAAATCTATCCACCACCCTGCGGTGGTGAGGCTGAAACAAGGGGAAGCAATGGAGTGGATGGGTGTGAGATCTGTACTGACACAATGAATGGGACAGAAGCACAACAAAACAATACTGCATTATGTGTATGCTTACAAAGGATTGAACAGTCCTAAAGTTCAGACAGCAGATTTTACAGTACAGCTAAGTGGCTCTGATTGTCTCTGGCCTTGAGGAGGGTCTGAGTGCAGAGCTCCAGGCTGGGGCCCACCTCCTCCGTGAGACCCTTCTTTAAAGAGGACGCTGTGAACTGTGACCGCCAGGACCATCACAAGGGCATGCAGACATCAGTTTAAATTACCCTCGCAGAATAAATAAACTTTAACCTCGTTATACCGTGCTGTATAAACTCAGTGGACGCAGCAAATATAGCTGACTCAATTTATCTTTCTTAGCATGTGAAATCACACGTGATTTACACCTGAACACACGTGATTTCTCCACCTCAACACAGGTGATTTCTCCACCTGATCACACGTGATTTCTCCACCTGATCACACGTGATTTCTCCACCTCAACACACGTGATTTCTCCACCTCAACACAGGTGATTTCTCCACCTCAACACACGTGATTTCTCCACCTCAACACACGTGATTTCTCCACCTGATCACACGTGATTTCTCCACCTGAACACACGTGATTTCTCCACCTGAACACACGTGATTTCTCCACCTGAACACACGTGATTTACACCTGAACACACGTGATTTCTCCACCTGAACACACGGTAATATGCACGATTTTACACCTTCCACAAGTGTTTCTCCACCCTAACACCGGACCCTCCACCCTAACACCTGACCCTCCACCCTAACACCTGACCCTCCACCCTAACACCTGACCCTCCACCCTAACACCTGACTCTCCACCCTAACACCTGACTCTCCACCCTAACACCTGACCCTCCACCCTAACACCTGACCCTCCACCCTAACACCTGACTCTCCACCCCAACACCTGACCCTCCACCCTAACACCTGACCCTCCTGACCCTCCACCCTAACACCTGACCCTCCACCCTAACACCTGACTCTCCACCCCAACACCTGACCCTCCACCCCAACACCTGACTCTCCACCCCAACACCTGACCCTCCACCCTAACACCTGACCCTCCACCCTAACACCTGACCCTCCACCCTAACACCTGACCCTCCACCCTAACACCTGACCCTCCACCCTAACCTAACGCGTGGTGTTCTGACGGAGGTGTGCCGGAGCCTGACTCTCCACCCTAACACCTGACCCTCCACCCTAACACCTGACCCTCCACCCTAACACCTGACTCTCCACCCTAACACCTGACCCTCCACCCTAACACCTGACCCTCCACCCTAACCTAACGCGTGGTGTTCTGACGGAGGTGTGCCGGAGCCTGACTCTCCACCCTAACACCTGACCCTCCACCCTAACACTCCACCCTAACACCTGACTCTCCACCCTAACACCTGACTCTCCACCCTAACACCTGACCCTCCACCCTAACACCTGACCCTCCACCCTAACACCTGACCCTCCACCCTAACACCTGACCCTCCACCCTAACACCTGACCCTCCACCCTAACCTAACGCGTGGTGTTCTGACGGAGGTGTGCCGGAGCCTGAGCTCTGCAGCGGGGCTCTGGTTCTGACCCGGGATCAGTCACGGTTGCTGTGGTTACCTGATCTTGACACTTGGGACAGATCCACATGCCTTTAGGAATGGTTTTCAGGGGAGGGTCCAGGCAGTCCAGGTGAAACACACGAGAACACGTGTCGCACATGAGCAACTGGCCACTGCGTCTGCACACAGTGCAGAAATCCTCATGGATGTCTCCCTGTGAGGAAGAATTGGACCAATCAGTTTCCAGCGTAGCCCCACCACGCAGAGGCCGGGGGGGCACCATGAGGTGTAGTTTAATATCTCATGGACATGTGATACACGTGTGTTTAGTCTGAGCCCACACAGAGGGTTACTGGGGGTTAGAATGTGTTCCGAGTGGTTATTAGAGGGGAACACCCCCAAAACATCCTGTGTTCCTCTCAACGTGAACTCAGTTCCTCTCAACGTGAACTCAGTTCCTCTCAACGTGAACTCAGCCGTGAGTCAAGAGTCAAAACACGTAGAAACAGAACAACCGAAGTATTCACAGCAAAACTTCACGAAACATCGGTTTACTAACTCTGGCTCAATAATAGAAACCTCATGTATCTATTAGATGCTCTCTACTTCACACACAGATTTATTTTCAGAGACATTTTTAGGAAAGTTTTTCTCTATTTTTGTTCAATATTTTCACCACAACCTGAAATAAACCGTAGCCTTTAAGCCACGTGTTCCAATTGTAGTTTTTGTGGAATATTATTATTATTTTCAGGTGAAATGTACCTTTTAAAGACCCACATAACACCCATATTACACTGTTATTGCACCCCTAACCCACACGTATTACACTGTTATTGCACCCCTAACCCACACGTATTACACTGTTATTGCACCCCTAACCCACACGTATTACACTGTTATTGCACCCCTAACCCACACGTATTACACTGTTATTGCACCGCTAACCCACCCATATTACACTGTTATTGCACCCCTAACCCACACATATTACACTGTTATTGCACCCCTAACAAACTGCCCCCTAACCCACACGTATTACACTGTTATTGCACCGCTAACCCACACGTATTACACTGTTATTGCACCCCTAACCCACACGTATTACACTGTTATTGCACCCCTAACCCACACGTATTACACTGTTATTGCACCCCTAACCCACCCATATTACACTGTTATTGCACCCCTAACCCACACGTATTACACTGTTATTGCACCCCTAACCCACCCATATTACACTGTTATTGCACCCCTAACCCACCCATATTACACTGTTATTGCACCGCTAACCCACCCATATTACACTGTTATTGCACCCCTAACCCACACATATTACACTGTTATTGCACCCCTAACCCACACATATTACACTGTTATTGCACCCCTAACCCACACATATTACACTGTTATTGCACCCCTAACCCACACGTATTACACTGTTATTGCACCCCTAACCCACCCATATTACACTGTTATTGCACCCCTAACCCACACGTATTACACTGTTATTGCACCCCTAACCCACCCATATTACACTGTTATTGCACCCCTAACCCACCCATATTACACTGTTATTGCACCGCTAACCCACCCATATTACACTGTTATTGCACCCCTAACCCACCCATATTACACTGTTATTGCACCCCTAACCCACCCATATTACACTGTTATTGCACCGCTAACCCACCCATATTACACTGTTATTGCACCCCTAACCCACACGTATTACACTGTTATTGCACCCCTAACCCACCCATATTACACTGTTATTGCACCCCTAACCCACACGTATTACACTGTTATTGCACCCCTAACCCACACGTATTACACTGTTATTGCACCCCTAACCCACCCATATTACACTGTTATTGCACCCCTAACCCACCCATATTACACTGTTATTGCACCCCTAACCCACACGTATTACACTGTTATTGCACCGCTAACCCACACGTATTACACTGTTATTGCAACGCTAACCCACCCATATTACACTGTTATTGCACCCCTAACCCACCCATATTACACTGTTATTGCAACGCTAACCCACCCATATTACACTGTTATTGCACCGCTAACCCACCCATATTACACTGTTATTGCACCCCTAACCCACCCATATTACACTGTTATTGCACCGCTAACCCACACGTATTACACTGTTATTGCACCCTTAACCCACCCATATTACACTGTTATTGCACCCCTAACCCCACCCATATTACACTGTTATTGCACCGCTAACCCACCCATATTACACTGTTATTGCACCCCTACCCACCCATCTTACACTGTTATTGCAACTGCTAACCCACCCCATATTACACTGTTATTACACCGCTAACCCACACGTATTACACTGTTATTGCAACGCTAACCCACCCATATTACACTGTTATTACACCCCTAACCCACACGTATTACACTGTTATTGCAACGCTAACCCACCCATATTACACTGTTATTGCACCCCTAACCCACACGTATTACACTGTTATTGCAACGCTAACCCACCCATATTACACTGTTATTACACCCCCTAACCCACACGTATTACACTGTTATTGCCACCCCTAACCCACCCATATTACAGTGTTATTGCACCCCTAACCCACACGTATTACACTGTTATTGCACCGCTAACCCACCCATATTACACTGTTATTGCACCCCTAACCCACACGTATTACACTGTTATTGCACCCCTAACCCACACGTATTACACTGTTATTGCACCCCTAACCCACACGTTTTACACTGTTATTGCACCCCTAACCCACACGTATCACACTGTTATTACACCCCTAACCCACACGTATTACACTGTTATTGCACCCCTAACCCACCCATATTACACTGTTATTGCACCCCTAACCCACCCATATTACACTGTTATTGCACCGCTAACCCACCCATATTACACTGTTATTGCACCCCTAACCCACACATATTACACTGTTATTGCACCCCTAACCCACACATATTACACTGTTATTGCACCCCTAACCCACACATATTACACTGTTATTGCACCCCTAACCCACACGTATTACACTGTTATTGCACCCCTAACCCACCCATATTACACTGTTATTGCACCCCTAACCCACACGTATTACACTGTTATTGCACCCCTAACCCACCCATATTACACTGTTATTGCACCCCTAACCCACCCATATTACACTGTTATTGCACCGCTAACCCACCCATATTACACTGTTATTGCACCCCTAACCCACCCATATTACACTGTTATTGCACCCCTAACCCACCCATATTACACTGTTATTGCAACGCTAACCCACCCATATTACACTGTTATTACACCCCTAACCCACACGTATTACACTGTTATTGCACCGCTAACCCACCCATATTACACTGTTATTGCACCCCTAACCCACACGTATTACACTGTTATTGCACCCCTAACCCACCCATATTACACTGTTATTGCACCCCTAACCCACACGTATTACACTGTTATTGCACCCCTAACCCACACGTATTACACTGTTATTGCACCCCTAACCCACCCATATTACACTGTTATTGCACCCCTAACCCACCCATATTACACTGTTATTGCACCCCTAACCCACACGTATTACACTGTTATTGCACCGCTAACCCACACGTATTACACTGTTATTGCACCGCTAACCCACCCATATTACACTGTTATTGCACCCCTAACCCACCCATATTACACTGTTATTGCACCGCTAACCCACACGTATTACACTGTTATTGCACCCTTAACCCACCCATATTACACTGTTATTGCACCCCTAACCCACCCATATTACACTGTTATTGCACCGCTAACCCACCCATATTACACTGTTATTGCACCCCTAACCCACCCATATTACACTGTTATTGCAACGCTAACCCACCCATATTACACTGTTATTACACCGCTAACCCACACGTATTACACTGTTATTGCAACGCTAACCCACCCATATTACACTGTTATTACACCCCTAACCCACACGTATTACACTGTTATTGCAACGCTAACCCACCCATATTACACTGTTATTGCACCCCTAACCCACACGTATTACACTGTTATTGCAACGCTAACCCACCCATATTACACTGTTATTACACCCCTAACCCACACGTATTACACTGTTATTGCACCCCTAACCCACCCATATTACAGTGTTATTGCACCCCTAACCCACACGTATTACACTGTTATTGCACCGCTAACCCACCCATATTACACTGTTATTGCACCCCTAACCCACACGTATTACACTGTTATTGCACCCCTAACCCACACGTATTACACTGTTATTGCACCCCTAACCCACACGTTTTACACTGTTATTGCACCCCTAACCCACACGTATCACACTGTTATTACACCCCTAACCCACACGTATTACACTGTTATTGCACCCCTAACCCACCCATATTACACTGTTATTACACCCCTAACCCACCCATATTACACTGTTATTGCACCCCTAACCCACCCATATTACACTGTTATTGCACCGCTAACCCACCCATATTACACTGTTATTGCACCCCTAACCCACACGTATTACACTGTTATTGCACCCCTAACCCACACGTATTACACTGTTATTGCACCCCTAACCCACACGTATTACACTGTTATTGCACCCCTAACCCACCCATATTACACTGTTATTACACCCCTAACCCACACGTATTACACTGTTATTGCACCGCTAACCCACACGTATTACACTGTTATTGCACCCCTAACCCACACGTATTACACTGTTATTGCACCGCTAACCCACCCATATTACACTGTTATTACACCCCTAACCCACCCATATTACACTGTTATTGCACCCCTATTTTCCCCTTATTACACTGTTATAAGAGCCTTATTACCCCCCTAACATGCTGTTGTTACACCGACCTCCCTCATGGACGCAGCCTGTGAAATGACGGCCTCCTCCCGAACCATCTCAGGGTAAAACTAAACACCACTTTCTACGTCTTCTGACTCTTGGTCACTGGCCTGAGAGAAAACACAGGGTTTGTTTTGGGGGGTCACTAAGGTATAAATGCTGGTTTTGGGGGTGAGCTCTACAGGACGCTGTTCACTTTGTAAGGCTGAAAGTAAAAATCATGGTGGATGATAATCATGGAGACAACAGAGTGAGTGATGTGTGTGGAGGTGACGGAGCTGCCGGCCTGTAAGTGTTTGAGTGACAGGGGATTTTCTCCCTCGTCTCCCCCCTCTCGTTACTTACATCCCCAGGGCTGGGCAGGGGGGGGGGGCGGACGGGGCTGGAGGGGGAGGCCGGGGGGGGGCGCTCCGGGACACCGCTGAATTTAGGAGGGCGACCTGGGTGAAATGAGACAGACAACAACAAAGACGGAAAAACAAAGAAAAATAAAAGATGGAGAGGGGGGAGAAAAACAATCACAGTCTGTATGACATACCTTAGAAAGGGAGTCTTCGTTCGCTAGTGTGAGGACGGGGAGGACGAAGAGGAGGAGGCAGGGGGGGAGGAAGAGGGGGAGGCAGGGGAGTAGGAGGAGGAAGAAGAGGGAGAGGAGGAGGCAGGGGAGTAGGAGGAGGAGGCAGAGGGGGAGGAAGAGGAGGAGGAGGAGTCAAAGCACAGACAGCAGTGTTAGTGCTGGAGTTAGTCAGATTCCACAGGCCCCCGTCATGTGATCAGGGCTGCAGCCTCACACGGGGAAATAACTACAATTAAATAGACTTTTATCCTAGAGAAAACACTTTTATCTTTTTATCAGACTTTTGTCATTAACTTGTGTTTAAATACAGATTTGTATTTTACATTTTTATTGCACTTTCTACTTTAAATTATTATTGATAATAATTACACCCCTTATTTTAGCCATGAGAAAGAGACTGCAGCTCTCTGTGCACGAGGCGTGAAGAAGCTGAGAGGTTCCTGATCAGTGTCAGATGGAGGTAAGCCGCGTTACACTGCATACTTTGCAGCACTTATTACCCCAGGGCACTCAGTACCAATCGCCTTCACACCGGAGTACTTTTCCCTGGGGGAGGATTACGCAAATGAGCCACTGACGTCACTTCTTCTTCTTCTGCTTTGGGTTTACTGGCAGGCTGCAAACCACTTCACGGCGTATACTGCCACCCGGAGTCCGCGGCCGGAAGTCCCCGGAGTTGGGGAAGGCTTCAGTCGAAGCTGCTGGGAGTAAATCGCCAGAACGCCGACACCTCCTCATCTCCACCGCTCCCATGTTTTCTTTTGTGTTGCCATAAGTTAGTCTCTCTGCGTTTCTGCGCGGGGCTAATGCTAATAATACTAATGCCACAAATACAATGGCGGCTTCACAAAACTTTTCAGAGTTTTACGGGGCGTGGTTTGCAATTCGCCCAGCCAATCAGAACTGGGGCACTTCTCCCCCCCAGGAGAGAACCACCTCTCAGCAAGCACTGAACATGGGGGTCAAAGTTCCCGGCACTAAGTCCTCTTTTTGGTGTGAACGCGACATCAGGGGTGCTAACGGAACTAAAGGGGGAAAGTACTCCGGTGTGAACGCGCCTATTGATCCTGATCAGTTTCAGATGGAGGTAATATTGATCCTGATCAGTTTCAGATGGAGGTAATATTGATCCTGATCAGTTTCAGATGGAGGTAATATTGATCCTGATCAGTTTCAGATGGAGGTAATATTGATCCTGATCAGTTTCAGATGGAGGTAATATTGATCCTGATCAGTTTCAGATGGAGGTAATATTGATCCTGATCAGTTTCAGATGGAGGTCATATTGATCCTGTAAAACTTCATATTTAGTATTTTTTATATGTGTAGAAGTATAAATCCGGCTTTAATTAAGAGGAGCGAAAAGAAACAGGAAGTAGCAGCAGGGGGGGGGGTTATTTTACAGCAGGTATTATTATTATTAGAGTCAGAAATTAGTCTCTTCTGATTACACTGAGCAAGTTAAACTGCTTTCTGTTACTGAGCTGCATCTTTATTGTACATAATGTATATACACACAGGTATATACTGTATATATATAGATATATAGATATCTATATATATGGTGTATATCATACGGACCTCTCTTCCTGGTCCCTTGGTGCAGAGGGCTGTTCAGGTAACTCACTGCACTCTTTTTCCTCTGAAACAAACAGAACATGTTCAATTAATGAAATGTGAATAATTCATTTTATGAGAAGAATGCTTTTCATTTAAAGCAGGGTGTCAAACTCAAGGCCTGCTACTACACTTTCTGTGTCCCCACAAGAGCTCTGAAAGAATACCATATGTTTGTTATACGGTTACATGCCACTTTACAGAAGCACGTTGCCCTTAAACTACATGTCCCACAATGCATCTCATTTTGTGACACTGAGACTTGCAATTATTTGCCGCAGTTAATTATGAAGTTATTACCCTATCCCATAATAATCCAATGCAGAGGCAATAATGTGAAATAATACATTATTTTATATATATTTATATAGTCTTAAAGTTACAACCGGCCCTTTGAGTGCAACCATAATGCTGATGTGGCCCTGAGGGGAAATTGACTTTGACCCCTGATCTACAACAGTCCCCTGATGGATGCTCCTCCACCGACGGCAGCTAATGGATATTACTGTATAACAATATCCACATCAGTTCATCCTTTCAGGTCTGCGTCAGTTTAGGTGAGATGTTGGTGAGGTTATGATTTAAAGTATTCCTGGTGTTTGCACCTCGGGTTCGAACACAGCGCCGCTGTACACCGGGTTGGCTGTCGTTCTCCTCTTCCTCTCCTGCCGTTTGCTCTGGATTTCTGCAGAGAAACATGAAAGTTTGAATCCAGAAAGCTCCGCGGTTGCAGCATCCGGACCTGAAGACAGAAACTCACCTTCCAGGTGGTCGTGTGTGACGAGGCCCAGAGACACCATGAAGGCCAGTTTCTGGAACAGAGAGTAAGCACATGACTTCACCACCGCTAAGCTAAAGGTGGCTAATGTTGGACTATAAAGGAACAACAGCACGGTCACATGACTTCACGTCCCCACCGCTAAACAAAAGGAGGCTAATGTTGGACTATAAAGGAACTACAGCAAGGTCACATGACTTCACATCCCCACCGCTAAACTAAAGGAGGCTAATGTTGGGCTATAAAGGAACAACAGCACGGTCACATGACTTCACGTCCCCACCGCTAAACAAAAGGAGGCTAATGTTGGGCTATAAAGGAACTACAGCACGGTCACATGACGTCACGTCACCACCGCTAAGCTAAAGGAGGCTAATGTTGGGCTGTAAAGGAGCTACAGCACGGTCACATGACTTCACGTCACCACCGCTAAGCTAATGGAGGCTAATGTTGGGCTATAAAGGAACTACAGCACGGTCACATGACTTCACGTCACCACCGCTAAGCTAATGGAGGCTAATGTTGGGCTATAAAGGAACTACAGCACGGTCACATGACTTCACGTCACCACCGCTAAGCTAAAGGTGGCTAATGTTGGACTATAGAGGAACTACAGCAAGGTCACATGACTTCACCTCACCACCGCTAAGCTAAAGGAGGCTAATGTTGGGCTATAAAGGAACTACAGCACGGTCACTTGACTTCACGTCACCATCGCTAAGCTAAAGGAGGCTAATGTTGGGCTATAAAAGAACTACAGCACGGTCACATGACTTCACGTCACCACCGCTAAGCTAACGGAGGCTAATGTTGGGCTATAAAGGAACTATAGCACGGTCACATGACTTCCCTTCACCACCGCTAAGCTAAAGGAGGCAAATGTTGGGCTATAAAGGAACTACAGCACGGTCACATGACTTCACGTCACCACCGCTAAGCTAAAGGTGGCTAATGTTGGGATATAAAGGAACTACAGCACAGTCACATGACTTCACGTCACCACCGCTAAGCTAAAGGAGGCTAATGTTGGGCTATAAAGGAACTACAGCACGGTCACATGACTTCCCTTCACCACCGCTAAGCTAAAGCAGGCTAATGTTGGGCTATAAAGGAACTACAGCACGGTCACATGACTTCCCTTCACCACCGCTAAGCTAAAGGAGGCTAATGTTGGGCTATAAAGGAACTACAGCACGGTCACATGACTTCACGTCACCACCGCTAAGCTAAAGGTGGCTAATGTTGGGCTATAAAGGAACTACAGCACGGTCACATGACTTCACGTCACCACCGCTAAGCTAAAGGAGGCTAATGTTGGGCTATAAAGTAACTACAGCACGGTCACATGACTTCACGTCACCACCGCTAAGCTAAAGGAGGCTAATGTTGGGCTATAAAGGAACTACAGCACGGTCACATGACTTCACGTCACCACTGCTAAGCTAAAGGAGGCTAATGTTGGGCTATAAAGGAACTACAGCACGGTCACATGACTTCACGTCACCACCACTAAGCTAATGGAGGCTAATGTTGGGCTATAAAGGAACTACAGTACGGTCACATGACTTCACGTCACCACCGCTAAGCTAAAGGAGGCTAATGTTGGGCTATAAAGGAACTACAGCACGGTCACATGACTTCCCTTCACCACCGCTAAGCTAAAGGAGGCTAATGTTGGGCTATAAAGGAACTACAGCACGGTCACATGACTTCACGTCACCACCGCTAAGCTAAAGGAGGCTAATGTTGGGCAATAAAGGAACTACAGCACGGTCACATGACTTCACGTCACCACCGCTAAGCTAATGGAGGCTAATGTTGGGCTATAAAGGAACTACAGCACGGTCACATGACTTCCCTTCACCACCGCTAAGCTAAAGGAGGCTAATGTTGGGCTATAAAGGAACTACAGCACGGTCACATGACTTCACGTCACCACCGCTAAGCTAAAGGAGGCTAATGTTGGGCAATAAAGGAACTACAGCACGGTCACATGACTTCACGTCACACCGCTCAGCTGGAGGGCCTAACTGCCCCCCCCCCTCTACACACCTCGGGGTTGTCCTCTCTCTTGGCGGGGGGAGACAGTGGGGGGGTGGAGGGGGGGGGGGGGGGGGGGGGGGGGGCTCACCACCAGCTTCTGCTCAGATCCACCTCCGGGTTTAACAGTCTGCTGAGAGGAGGTGAAGAAAATCAATCAATCAATCAGCAGACGCTGCTGAAACACAAACTTGAACATTTGGTTATTAAGGAGTAATGTCTTTTTAAGGAAGTTTATATTGTTTAAAATCATGTAATAGCACGTATTCTGTAATAACATGTATATTATTTAATAACATTGTATAATAGTATTATGTAATACCATGTTTTGTGTAATAAGGAAATGTATATTGTGTTATAGCATGTGTTGTGTAATAACATGCATATTATGTAATAACACTGTAATACCATGTTTTGTGTGTAATAACCACGCTCTCGGTACCTTGGGCTCTGCATTCAGGCTGCTGATCTGGATGGGCTTGTTGGGGGCGGGCTTCAGGGCAGGGGTCAGGACGGGGGTCAGGAGGGCGCTGCTGGCGAGGCGTGTTGTTGTTGTGGTCATCATCGGGGGGGTGGTGATCACGATGCCCGTCAGCGTGTTGCTGCTCTCTCTGCACGGCTGACCGTTCAGGATGCGCACCTGGAGGGTGGGAGGCAGCGAGAGGTTAACTTACCTATTCACTCTAGCTCTCTGTTACTGTTTCTGATGTTGTGTAAAGAACTTTCTGCCCTTTAGTACTTTTACTGTAACAGAGTATTCCTACACTCTGGTACTTCTACTTTTACTCAAGTACAAGATCTGAGTACTTCTACTTTTACTGAAGTACAAGATCTGAGTACTTCTACTTTGACTCAAGAACAAGATCTGAGTACTTCTACTTTTACTCAAGTACAAGATCTCAGTACTTCTACTTTTACTCAAGTACAAGATCTGAGTACTTCTACTTTGACTCAAGAACAAGATCTGAATACTTCTACTTTTACTCAAGCACAAGACCTGAGTACTTCTACTTTTACTCAAGTACAAGATCTCAGTACTTCTACTTTTACTCAAGTACAAGATCTGAGTACTTCTACTTTGACTCAAGAACAAGATCTGAGTACTTCTACTTTTACTCAAGTACAAGACCCGAGTACTTCTACTTTTACTAAGTACAATATCTGAGTACTTCTACTTTGACTCAAGAACAAGATCTGAGTACTTCTACTTTTACTCAAGCACAAGATCTGAGTACTTCTACTTTGACTCAAGAACAAGATCTGAGTACTTCTAATTTTACTCAAGTACAAGATCTGAGTACTTCTACTGTTACTCAAGTACAAGATCTGAGTACTTCTACTTTGACTCAAGAACAAGATCTGAGTACTTCAACTTTGACTCAAGAACAAGATCTGAGTACTTCAACTTTTACTCAAGAACAAGATCTGAGTACTTCTACTTTTACTCAAGTAGAAGACCTGAGTACTTCTACTTTTACTCAAGTACAAGTTCTGAGTACTTCTACCTATCTTGATGCTCAGTATATAGTGCTCTTCATCGTTGTTATGTATATAGTGTAGTTGTAGAATGAAGACGAGGGAATGAAGCCCTGCTGATGGATGAAGATGAGATGTTGACAGCGAGCAGAGCGCACCTGGTGGATGGGAGCCGCTGAGGGCAGAGAGGAGGAGGACAGCTTGGTGGCCAGCATGAGGGGCCGCTGCAGCAGCTGGGGGGCCGCCATCATGGGGGGAGGGGGTGCCGGGGCGATGTGCACATTGGTGTAGGAGGGCGGGAGCGGTTTGGGCCGGACCTGGAGACAGCAGACAGCCAATCAGAAGAGAGGAGAACACAGATGAGAAGAACACTGCTGGGTGACGCCACTGAGGATCTGAGGGGGACTGATGCTAATACTAAGGCTAATGCTAATACAAACGCCAATTTTACATGTTTTTACTTAAACTAATACAACACTAATATTAATGATGCTGATATTAATGCAAACACATATGCTAACGCCAATTTGACGTACTTTTACCTACACTATTGCTAAGACATATACTAATATATACGTTAGGGTTAGGCATTTAGTACTTTTTCAAAGTTAAACTTGTTCTAAATGTTTTTACTTTAATCCGAGTTTTTTCACGCAAGATTATTTTTTATCAGACGTACAATCTAATGCTTCTCTTAAATGTGTGAGTTTTTCTTAGTTAGCTTTCACTTTAATCCCAGAGAACATTAAGATTATTTTTGTGAATTAATGACTAATCCCACATTATTTCCCTGTCAATACGAGCACCCTTGATATTGTTAAACAAATCAATATTTGCTTGTTTTTTCTAATTGTTTCCTCCCTCGTTGTGTTATTTTTGCAGTGTTGAAGTTCTCCTAGCAGTGTTGAAGTTCTCCTAGCTGTGTTCTCCTAGCAGTGTTGAAGTTCTCCTAGCAGTGTTCTCTTAGCAGTGTTGAAGTTCTCCTAGCAGTGTTAAAGTTCTCCTAGCAGTGTTAAAGTTCTCCTAGCAGTGTTCTCCTAGCAGTGTTTAAGTTCTCCTAGCAGTGTTCTCCTAGCAGTGTTCTCCTAGCAGTGTTCTCCTAGCGGTGTTCTCCTAGCGGTGTTCTCCTAGCAGTGTTAAAGTTCTCCTAGCAGTGTTGAAGTTCTCATAGCAGTATTAAAGTTCTCCTAGCAGTGTTCTCCTAGCAGTGTTTAAGTTCTCCTAGCAGTGTTCTCCTAGCAGTGTTAAAGTTCTCCTAGCAGTGTTCTCCTAGCAGTGTTTAAGTTCTCCTAGCAGTGTTCTCCTAGCAGTGTTCTCCTAGCGGTGTTCTCCTAGCGGTGTTCTCCTAGCAGTGTTAAAGTTCTCCTAGCAGTGTTGAAGTTCTCATAGCAGTATTAAAGTTCTCCTAGCAGTGTTAAAGTTCTCCTAGCAGTGTTCTCCTAGCAGTGTTTAAGTTCTCCTAGCAGTGTTCTCCTAGCAGTGTTAAAGTTCTCCTAGCAGTGTTCTCCTAGCAGTGTTTAAGTTCTCCTAGCAGTGTTCTCCTAGCGGTGTTCTCCTAGCGGTGTTCTCCTAGCAGTGTTAAAGTTCTCCTAGCAGTGTTGAAGTTCTCATAGCAGTATTAAAGTTCTCCTAGCAGTGTTAAAGTTCTCCTAGCAGTGTTCTCCTAGCAGTGTTTAAGTTCTCCTAGCAGTGTTCTCCTAGCAGTGTTGAAGTTCTCCTAGCTGTGTTCTCCTAGCAGTGTTGAAGTTCTCCTAGCAGTGTTCTCCTAGCAGTGTTGAAGTTCTCCTAGCAGTGTTCTCCTAGCAGTGTTAAAGTTCTCCTAGCAGTGTTCTCCTAGCAGTGTTTAAGTTCTCCTAGCAGTGTTCTCCTAGCAGTGTTAAAGTTCTCCTAGCAGTGTTCTCCTAGCAGTGTTTAAGTTCTCCTAGCAGTGTTCTCCTAGCAGTGTTCTCCTAGCGGTGTTCTCCTAGCGGTGTTCTCCTAGCAGTGTTAAAGTTCTCCTAGCAGTGTTGAAGTTCTCATAGCAGTATTAAAGTTCTCCTAGCAGTGTTAAAGTTCTCCTAGCAGTGTTCTCCTAGCAGTGTTTAAGTTCTCCTAGCAGTGTTCTCCTAGCAGTGTTGAAGTTCTCCTAGCTGTGTTCTCCTAGCAGTGTTGAAGTTCTCCTAGCAGTGTTCTCCTAGCAGTGTTGAAGTTCTCCTAGCAGTGTTCTCCTAGCAGTGTTAAAGTTCTCCTAGCAGTGTTCTCCTAGCAGTGTTTAAGTTCTCCTAGCAGTGTTCTCCTAGCAGTGTTCTCCTAGCGGTGTTCTCCTAGCAGTGTTAAAGTTCTCCTAGCAGTATTACAGTTCTCCTAGCAGTGTTAAAGTTCTCCTAGCAGTGTTCTCCTAGCAGTGTTAAAGTTCTCCTAGCAGTGTTCTCCTAGCAGTGTTTAAGTTCTCCTAGCAGTGTTCTCCTATCAGTGTTTAAGTTCTCCTAGCAGTGTTGAAGTTATCCTAGCAGTGTTCTCCTAGCAGTGCTGAAGTTCTCCTAGCAGTGTTAAAGTTCTCCTAGCAGTGTTAAAGTTCTCTTAGCAGTGTTCTCCTAGCAGTGTTTAAGTTCTCCTAGCAGTGTTCTCCTAGCAGTGTTTAAGTTCTCCTAGCAGTGTTCTCCTAGCAGTGTTCTCCTAGCGTTGTTCTCCTAGCAGTGTTGAAGTTCTCCTAGCAGTGTTCTCCTACCAGTGTTAAAGTTCTCCTACCAGTGTTAAAGTTCTCCTAGCAGTGTTGAAGTTCTCCTAGCAGTATTAAAGTTCTCCTAGCAGTGTTTAAGTTCTCCTAGCAGTGTTCTCCTAGCAGTGTTTAAGTTCTCCTAGCAGTGTTTAAGTTCTCCTAGCAGTGTTCTCCTAGCAGTGTTCTCCTAGCAGTGTTCTCCTAGCGGTGTTCTCCTAGCGGTGTTCTCCTAGCAGTGTTAAAGTTCTCCTAGCAGTGTTGAAGTTCTCATAGCAGTATTAAAGTTCTCCTAGCAGTGTTCTCCTAGCAGTGTTTAAGTTCTCCTAGCAGTGTTCTCCTAGCAGTGTTAAAGTTCTCCTAGCAGTGTTCTCCTAGCAGTGTTTAAGTTCTCCTAGCAGTGTTCTCCTAGCAGTGTTCTCCTAGCGGTGTTCTCCTAGCGGTGTTCTCCTAGCAGTGTTAAAGTTCTCCTAGCAGTGTTGAAGTTCTCATAGCAGTATTAAAGTTCTCCTAGCAGTGTTAAAGTTCTCCTAGCAGTGTTCTCCTAGCAGTGTTTAAGTTCTCCTAGCAGTGTTCTCCTAGCAGTGTTAAAGTTCTCCTAGCAGTGTTCTCCTAGCAGTGTTTAAGTTCTCCTAGCAGTGTTCTCCTAGCGGTGTTCTCCTAGCGGTGTTCTCCTAGCAGTGTTAAAGTTCTCCTAGCAGTGTTGAAGTTCTCCTAGCAGTATTAAAGTTCTCCTAGCAGTGTTAAAGTTCTCCTAGCAGTGTTCTCCTAGCAGTGTTTAAGTTCTCCTAGCAGTGTTCTCCTAGCAGTGTTGAAGTTCTCCTAGCAGTGTTCTCCTAGCAGTGTTGAAGTTCTCCTAGCAGTGTTCTCCTAGCAGTGTTGAAGTTCTCCTAGCAGTGTTCTCCTAGCAGTGTTAAAGTTCTCCTAGCAGTGTTCTCCTAGCAGTGTTTAAGTTCTCCTAGCAGTGTTCTCCTAGCAGTGTTAAAGTTCTCCTAGCAGTGTTCTCCTAGCAGTGTTTAAGTTCTCCTAGCAGTGTTCTCCTAGCAGTGTTCTCCTAGCGGTGTTCTCCTAGCGGTGTTTCTCCTAGCAGTGTTAAAGTTCTCCTAGCAGTGTTGAAGTTCTCATAGCAGTATTAAAGTTCTCCTAGCAGTGTTAAAGTTCTCCTAGCAGTGTTCTCCTAGCAGTGTTTAAGTTCTCCTAGCAGTGTTCTCCTAGCAGTGTTGAAGTTCGCCTAGCTGTGTTCTCCTAGCAGTGTTGAAGTTCTCCTAGCAGTGTTCTCCTAGCAGTGTTGAAGTTCTCCTAGCAGTGTTCTCCTAGCAGTGTTAAAGTTCTCCTAGCAGTGTTCTCCTAGCAGTGTTTAAAGTTCTCCTAGCAGTGTTCTCCTAGCAGTGTTCTCCTAGCGGTGTTCTCCTAGCAGTGTTAAAGTTCTCCTAGCAGTATTACAGTTCTCCTAGCAGTGTTAAAGTTCTCCTAGCAGTGTTCTCCTAGCAGTGTTAAGTTCTCCTAGCAGTGTTCTCCTAGCAGTGTTTAAGTTCTCCTAGCAGTGTTCTCCTATCAGTGTTTAAGTTCTCCTAGCAGTGTTGAAGTTATCCTAGCAGTGTTCTCCTAGCAGTGCTGAAGTTCTCCTAGCAGTGTTAAAGTTCTCCTAGCAGTGTTAAAGTTCTCTTAGCAGTGTTCTCCTAGCGTGTTTGAAGTTCTCCTAGCAGTGTTCTCCTAGCAGTGTTTAAGTTCTCCTAGCAGTGTTCTCCTAGCGTTGTTCTCCTAGCAGTGTTGAAGTTCTCCTAGCAGTGTTCTCCTACCAGTGTTAAAGTTCTCCTACCAGTGTTAAAGTTCTCCTAGCAGTGTTGAAGTTCTCCTAGCAGTATTAAAGTTCTCCTAGCAGTGTTTAAAGTTCTCCTAGCAGTGTTTAAGTTCTCCTAGCAGTGTTCTCCTAGCAGTGTTTAAGTTCTCCTAGCAGTGTTCTCCTAGCAGTGTTCTCCTAGCAGTGTTCTCCTAGCAGTGTTAAAGTTCTCCTAGCAGTGTTAAAGTTCTCCTAGCAGTGTTAAAGTTCTCCTAGTAGTGTTAAAGTTCTCCTAGCAGTGTTGAAGTTCTCCTAGCAGTATTAAAGTTCTCCTAGCAGTGTTAGAGTTCTCCTAGCAGTGTTCTCCTAGCAGTGTTTAAGTTATCCTAGCAGTGTTCTCCTAGCAGTGTTTAAGTTATCCTAGCAGTGTTCTCCTAGCAGTGTTTAAGTTATCCTAGTAGTGTTCTCCTAGCAGTGTTAAAGTTCTCATAGCAGTGTTAAAGTTCTCCTAGCAGTATTAAAGTTCTCCTAGCAGTGTTAACGTTCTCCTAGTAGTGTTAAAGTTCTCCTAGCAGTGTTTAAGTTCTCCTAGTAGTGTTCTCCTAGCAGTGTTAAAGTTCTCATAGCAGTGTTAAAGTTCTCCTAGCAGTATTAAAGTTCTCCTAGC